TGCCAAAAACAAAAAAAATAAAAGAGAGGCAAATCCATCCTTACTGTGTGCTCACCAAACTTTTCACCTGAGTACAAGAAACTCACTTGAATCTGCTAAGTTGGGTGGTTACCTGAAAGCCGGTACACATCCCCACAGCCACACCCACAGGACAGAGGAGGCAGGGTATGGCGGGGCTCCCCAGCTCCCATGGGTGCTACATAGGTATGTGTGCACTGACGTGCGCCTCATATGCTCTTCACTCAGTATGACCTTTTGGCAGAAAGTTATTCTTTAGCAAAAGCTTCCTCGCATGGGGACACAATCCGCTAAGACCGTAACCCCAGAGCCCCCTGATCTGCAGCGATACTTGACACACTACTGCCTCAAACAATGAGGCTACATCCCAGGCAATGAGATCACAGACATTACTTCTGACCTTTATGAATCACTGGGGATTTTAACCATCACCTATCACTTATTAATTTATTCTTGGAACATAAATTGTTTCCACCAAAAAAACGGCCACACTGGAAAAGTTCATTAAGAACATAAGACAAAATGAAGGAACTGGTTTCTTTTATATATAGTTTTAAGGTGTTACATACTAAGATGATCTGTCTAATTCAGCTTCAGGGTAACCAAGAGCTTACCTGTTTGCTTTGCAGAGCTCGCTGGAAAAGCCGGAGAAATGCAGCCAAGCTAAAACGGTACATGTTATTGATCTTGGACAGGTCGGAGATGATGAAGAACATCTTGCTGGCACTCTCTGCCAGAGGGAGGTAGGCGTCGCGCTCCTGTGCAGGAGGAGTGGGAAGGTCAGTGGGAAGGTCAGTGGGGCCGCGCTGCACGGCCACCTACAGCCGCTGCGTGCACTCCTAGCCCGGGCTTTGCTGCACACAGAGCAAATCAAGTAACAAACTGAAAAATTTGTAACTAAAAGGAAAAACCTAAGTATTTTTACAAATCTGAGGACAATATATATTTTAGTCTGTTCTGGATACTATAAAAAAATACACTAAGCTGGTTCTGCTTGAAATTCATTCCTCCCACTTCTGGAGGCCAGAAAGTCAAGAAGATTAAGGAACGGCTAATAAGGGCCTACTTCCTGGCTCACAGAAACACTTGCTTCGTCCTGGGCCCTTCCAGAGCAGAAAGGGAGAGAAACGCCTCCAGCCCTCCTTCATGCCCTAGCCCCTCTTAGGGGCTGCATACCCCTGACCTAATTACCTCCAGAGGCGCCCCCTGGGGAACAAAGAGCAGGGTGGAACCGGCCGGCGCTGGCGGGCCTCGCGGAGGCAAGCGCCCAAAATGCAAGCAGGCCCCACTTACTCATCGCCAAGTGCCAACAAGGTGATCGAACCTGAACACTGAAGTTTCAGTTCAGAAAAAACCACTCATACGTGACCATCTTTTGGCTTCAAAGCCAAGCACAACACGTGGGCCAAGGTTCACCGCCCCTGGAATATATGGTGCTAATCAGCTGGGATCGGAAAGCAGACGGAGCAGCTGGACATTTCAAGAGGCTCGGTCCGGGTGACTCAAGCGGGCACGGGGCTACCCGCCATCCCTGACACGGAGGACGCTTCCAGTGGGAGACTCCTGGCACCGATAAGAACACTTCTCACTAAAGATAGAGAGGATGTCTTCAACAGACGCGCCCTTCACGATGACAAAGTACCCGCAAGTGTTCAAAGTAAGGAAAACAACAAATAACTGCACAGACTTTCGTTTTAAGTGAAGGTAAAGAATGATAGATATGGGAATATCACAGGTTAAGCGGCCTCAAAAATGGAATTCTGAGTTCTCCACATTATTATGATCAAAGTACGGGATTACAAATATGGTAAAATTATGTATGTAATTCCTCAATGCTAATAAGAAAATGTATAGAAAATTAAAAATTGCTTTTGGCAGAAAATAACCATGAATATGCAAAGTTTAGCACCAGTAGGGAAGGTGGGTGAATGTGCTGCAATCAGGCCAGAAACTCTCTCTGATTCCCGCTTTAACTAAGCTCTTCTCCAACTGAAATTAGAAACAGATTAAGTATAAAATTTGAACAAAGTCTGAAAAGCCCCTGTAGACCCTTCCCTAAAATACAAAAAATAAAAAATTTAAAAAAAAAAAGTCTGAAAAGCCTGGGGGGAAAAGTTGGGAAAGTTACTGAGAAGAAAATGAATTAAGAAATACTGCATCAGAGAGCCAGCAAGTGAAAGGAAATTCATAGTAATGTTAATGTACTTGGTTGTCTGAATTTTTTGAACAAACGTTGGTCACTGAATGCTGAAAGAGACATATTATACTGGCAGAAGGCTGAAATCTTGCTAAAGGAGACATAAAAAGATAAAGTAAAAGAGATTTAAGGTCACTGACAAGAAAGTAATTCAGATCATCATACTACTGGGGTCCAGTATAACCAGGAAAGAAAAATGTTTTTAATGCTAATGATGGCTCACAACCCTAGTGGTATTTTCAACTTGCCTTAAAAATATTCCCAAAATGGAATTATAGCTCAGATCTGGAATGTTCCCCAAAGGATCATACATTAAATAAACGTCTAGGCCACAACCACAGTGTTATTAGAAAGTGGTGAAGTCTTAGTGAAAGAAGGGTGACCTAGTGAAAGGCCACGCCACAGGGACAGTGTGTGGGACCGTGGTCTCTGTCTCTCTCATTCATAACTCACACACACAGACACACACACACACACACACACACACACACACACACTCTGGGGTGAAGAGCTTCACACACACTCAGGCAATGTTGT